AATAAATTTAAGATTAGTTTATAATGTGGTTTCAATTCAATCAGATTTGTAGCCCTTTGCCATCCATTCGTACAGACCATCGATGTATTGGTCTTTTAGTTGAAGAGTCTTCGCGCGGATCTCTTCCGACTTTTTTAATTGCAAATTCTCGGTCCGAATGGACGCCAACTCGAGTCTTCACTTCTTGTTGTCCTCCTGAGCGTCTTGACGACCTCTTCAGTGGTCGGCTCCTCATTATCCGAGGCATCGGTGCCATTGAAAACGCACTTCAGTTTTGAATCCATGATCGCTTCTGGATCGACACCTTTCGATATGGTCTCGTGGTTGACCTGACCGTCCGGAGCGAACATTGTCTGTACAAAAAAAACTAGAGGTAAGGATCGGATCCGGACTCATATAACCATCAATTTGCTCACCTCTACAACAAACCAGTCGTCCAAACGAACCGGTAGTCTCCGCACATCTATGGTTGTGGTAATGAACGGCTCGATAAGTCCGGTGTTAGACATCACGACATACTTCTCCGGCTCTGTTGACTTCAACTTATAGCACACCCGACGGTCGGTCGGATTAAACAGCTTAAGGTAAGCCATGATCGCAGCCGAGGATACCTTTTCCTTGAAGTGGGTTTCAGCACTAGGATCTGCTTTGATGTGGACATTGTCTGCGATGTTGGTGTCAATTGGACTCAAATGTACAGTCAGTCAGTGTCTCAATTATAGCTTATGTTAGGACTGATTGACAAACACTTGAATTGCAATCAAATAAAAAGTGCAAAAAACTTGAGATTCTCTGTTATTCTACACTAAAGTTATACACATTTCTCAGGTCTTATGAAACTTGTTTTCATTAAGATTTCAATCAACTATTAGCTTATTTTTGATCAGATTTATATCTAATAGAAAGTTTTCCCTATTAAGTGCATCCAATTGTATCCATACTTGCATTCAACAAATTTGACATTTAATTTGATATTACTTTTAAAAGTTATAAAAATATGTCTTAAATTTGTCACGTCTTAGGGAATTCTTGACATATAAATTACATTTTCAGATAATATCTAATAAAATCAAGAGTTTTATTTATTTTCCAAAATTTATCCACAAACAAAAATCTTTAAAAAGTGCGAAACAAGTCATTTGACTATTAAATAAAAACCTCATAAAACACATGAAATAAACTGACAATCTATTGATTAGTTTGACATAAGATAATAGCGATAATGAATGGCAACACCTCTTCATCTCTCAATTGTATAAAAACCAAAACATTTAAAAATGAGACAAAATTTNTAAAAACCTCATAAAACACATGAAATAAACTGACAATCTATTGATTAGTTTGACATAAGATAATAGCGATAATGAATGGCAACACCTCTTCATCTCTCAATTGTATAAAAACCAAAACATTTAAAAATGAGACAAAATTTACAAATTCTTGAGGAATTAATTATTAACAAAAAACACAGGAATTCCTATTTTAAAAATGAATAGAGAGATCAAAACGAGAATTCATTGAATAATAAAAAATAAAAACAAATAAACATTTAATTAAAGTGGATTCGAAGTTAAATCTAAAAGTGGGTCCACTTTTAACCAATTGTTCACTTTAGGAGCGGCCGATGGGATGGTGGCCGACGGGGTAGTCCTGGCGCTGGCTGTGGGCGCAGCCGACAACCCGTTAGTCTTGGGGACGGCCGCCGACTTGGTCTCAGTCTTGGCGCGTTAGCCAAACTGAGGTCGAAACCTATCGTTACTTCTGCAGAAACCTCAGCCGAAAAACAGCCGTTATCAAAACCTGCTTTACGAGCAACAAAATGAGCGTCGGCTACCTCGGCATGCCGACCGACGTAGTCGACTCGTGGACACCTGCTTACTAGGGAGGGGAGCCTTAGTGGGCGACGCCTTTACGCCATTAACTGCAGGCTTGGCGCCAGTGGACGCGGGTTTGGGTGCAGTCGTCGCTGTCCTCAAAGAAGCGCTGGATTTGA